GATATTGAAAATTTTTGGGCAAGGGTTAGGAATCTCAATTGATTAAATTAGGAATTGATGCACAATAAGTGTTTGTTGAAAGGTCTAAGAGAGGATCATACCTCAGTCAAATGTTTTACTATGGCTAAAGTAATTTAGAGGAAATTTGCAATATAAATGATGGTGTTTAGGAAAACTTAAATTTTATATATTGATTATGAATCCATATGTAACTAGTTAAATTTCTAGGATAGTATGGTTATTGATGAATTGTTAGGTAAAGGTTGGAAGATTAGAAAGTCTAAGAAGAAACCTCTATATGTAGATTTTGTTGCTAAAACTTAAAGTTTATTACTAATTCTAGTTGAGTGAATTCTCCTAAAGAGAGACTTGTTAGTTCAAAAGTAAGTTCATTAAGATCCTATTATTTATTATAGGGTGATTGTGATAAGGTTAGCTCGATTGGAGTGGTAATAAGTGATTTTCGAACTTTGAAAGCACTATAGGTAAGTGGATAGCGTCCCAACTAATTTTTTTTAATTAAAATTTTCTTTACTAAAATACTACGTTTTTCTGGAAATTATTTTAATAGCATTAATGCGATTATTGGATATTTGTTGATTAATATTGCTTTATTTTGAGAAATTAGCTTTATCAAATTTGAAATGTTATGTGATCAATGAAATCAAGTTTGGACTTTGATTATGAGATTTTTATTTTATCAAATATTGAATTGATACAAAGAATGGTTCTTGTGAGTTCGACTTTGAAAATTTTTGATCATTTGATAAATGCAAGCATGAGCATTGGATATGAAATGTTATTCTGGCAAATTTTAATGCTTAAAAGTATTCATGCGAGTATGATTTTGAGAAGGAGAATTGTATCTTGAAAGTGGTGATTTTCTCGCATATTTGAAAATAATTTTTTTTTAAAAAAAGGGGATTTTATACAGAACATTAGTTGCTAACGGCAGTTCTGTTAGCCCTTGATCCACCATGGTATACCTAGCTAGGAGGGTGATCATAGGAGGTATTAGCCCCATGTGATGGCCAATACACGTAGAACGGAGGGATGGTTACTCGTGAGTATCGTATTCACGTTTGATTTCGTGGCTTTGAGCCTCGTTTGGTTATCATTACCCTCATGAATTGTGTGTCCACATTTATTTTATGGCTTCAGCCGCGTTTGGTTACTTACCCTCGTGGATTGTGTGTCCACGTTTGTTTTCGTGGCATAAATCGCGTTTGGTTATTTATCCTCGTGAACTGTATATCCAAATTTGTTTATTATTCTGATAAGTCCCTATTATATGAATTCGATTGTTTGGAAATTTCACATTCCATTGGTTTTAAGTAATAAATTATTTATATTTATTTATTTTTTTATTTTCTTCCTTGCAATCAAGTGATAATGTTATTTGATACGATATTTTAATGGTTCGAGATTTTTACTTAAAATTTTATAGAATTCTTTTATTTCAAAAGTTTATTAAATTGTTGTGAAGATCGTTGCCTCTTTAAATTGTAAAAAACATTATTTCAACTTTATTTTTATTTTTATTCATATTCAATTATTTATTGTTGGGATATTATTCACTGAAAAATTATTTTGGTCTCAGATTCATTAGTTGATGCTGATTCTACTGCCGACCTCTGAAGGGCATATGGCTATATTGGATGGAAATTTTATTTGGTATTGTTACCTCTTGATGTAAATATTTAAGATTCATGTATTTTAGCTTAGAAGTAAAATTAGTTGCTTCACATAAGTTATAGTTAAATTTTTATTTTAATATATATGTATTTATATATATATATATATATATATGTTGTCTGTTGGCTGGAAGGAGCTGAGCTCTTGATTGATACAATATTTAGAAAAATTTTTGTTTTATAAAATTTTCAGGAGATCCTATTTATGAAGGAAGTTCTGTCGAAATTTCTACAAAAATGTTGAAACTTTGTTATGACAATTAATAAAAAAAAGTTTTAAAATTTTCATATAATTTGATTAATTTTTTTAAAAAAATTAAAATAAATTTTCATTTTAAGGCTTACAAGAATATGCGATGTAGTTTGCATCCGTGTTGGTCATCCCTTATTTTTGGGGCGTGACAATAGAGATCAAGAAAAATCACATTTTTATTTGGCCAGAAGCAAGAATCACATATTTAATCAAAGCACATCATGCTTTAACATAATGATCAGACACAGCATAGGATATCCAGTTCCAGCGGCTGGAGATGAGAGCATATTAACGAAGTAACCATAATGAAGGGATGACTTAGAAAAAAAAACAAGAAGAAGAAGAAGTGCATACACACACACACACACACACTTTTATTGTTTAAATTCATTTATAATTCATTGAGACTTAAATGAAAATTTCATAATTTAAGGGACTTAACTATATTTCAAGCCACTTTTGTATATGCTAAATTGAATGTTCGCTTTCCGAGCGTGAGGTTTAATTTTATGCAGTTGAATTAGTCAAATGCAGACATAAGAAATTAAACGACCCAGAAGAAAATGACCATTAAAAAAAAAAAAAAAGACCATGGACTATATTTTATTGTATTTTGCGCGCCATCTAATTAACAATGTTAAATCATAGTTTACTCTGATAAAGCGTCTACCGTGGCTTTTGGTATAATATGCCGGTCACCTACTAGGTTTTTCACATGGGGATTTGTTGATAAAGTAACGTCTCTATCTGCTTTTATGACTGAAGCGCACCTTAATGCTAACTGTGGATTTGGGCCAATGACAAAGGTTATTTTTGAAATTGATTGTAAAACTCATTGTCAACTGTATTCCTCTCAATTAACCGGATTTGTGCGATTGGAAAAGTAGAAGTATTGTACATGATTGTCTTGAAGCTCTTTCATCTAAGGTTGGGTTCTCTCTCAGTTTTACTCTTGGCCAAAGGTTGCCAAGCAGCTGATTTCTTGGCAGATGTTGCTTTTAAGGAAGTGTGCACGATACGGTTGGTTTATGACCCATCACTTTCTCTGTCTGCCATTCTAACCTCAGATTTGGAAGAGGATCATCCGTCAACGTGGTCTTCTTTTATTTCTGATCACGTAATATTAATAGGGTTGGTTAATTGTTGATTCTAGTTGTTTCATTCTGTTTTACACTTTCCCTTGTATTGCTGTTGACTTCGTTAGTTTAATGGAATGGGAATTCCCCTTCTTTGATAAAAATAAATAAATAAAAATTTTAAATTAATTTGCAATAGTCATAAAAAATTGTGAACTCTATATCCAGAGATCCATATTAATGATAAGGTACTAAAGCACCCGAGCGGACTATTTGTCACGTTTGTTCTTGTTAGGAAGTTTTGTGGGTCTGTTTCGAGATTGCATTTCATGATGCTCATTTTAAATCCAGATCATTCATTAAAAAGTTAAACAATAATCTAGCTAGATTGAATTTCATTACTGCTTATTATTCTTCAACAAATTATATTTCGATTTTTAAAATTTAAAAACTTTTAAGGAAAAAGAAAGGCCGTTACAAGATTGTTTTAATTTTACATTCTTTTATGATTCAAACTTTTCTTAAACAAATATGTGTGGACCATAACAAGCTCTGGTCAACATCTGAAATTCAGAATAATTTAATTAAAATAAAACGAAGCACAAAGGTCGGTTGCAAGACCTCAAGTCGTTTATATATAGACAAATTAGTTGCAAGTAGCCACCTTGGATGGAGTGCGACTGGATTTGCAATTTTTCACGCACCAACAATGGGTTCTAGCTAGGTGCTTTGTCTTATAGTGTCATCAGTTATGTCACCTATTAATGTCTGGATATTAAGTGTCAGTTGACTTGGCTTGGTATAAGGAAAAGTCTTACATGGAGTAGAGTTAGGTTAGATAAGAGATATATAAGTGACAAAAAGACTCATAAATTAAATGCCTTAAGATTTAATTTGGGTTAAGATTTGAAGTCATTCTGTTAGAGATGGTTAGAAGAAAGCCAGAGTCTCTCAGGTTCCATGATGACAAGAGCAGAAATTTTTTCCCCTTGCGTGTGATGTGCAATCATTAGGACATACTGAAAGCTTTGGTCGCTTTGGATACTCACGACACCAATAAGCTGCTCATTGAAGGAGACTTGGATGGCAAAAATATTCCAATATAATTGTAACCTGTTTCCTTGAAAATTTCATCGTATACAGACGGATATATATATATATATAGACTACAAAGTGTTATAAATATATATATATATATATATATACATACATATATATATATATGTGTGTGTATGTATGTATCTCAAATTTGAATCATTCAAATTTGTCTTTACCAGAGATGGATCAACAAGCTCCATTTTCCTTCTTTTCCTAAGTGAAGGAAAAGGACAGAATCCATGGAAAAAAAATATAGTAATTAACATGTAACGTATCAAGTTGAAGTTTTATTATAAAGTAACAAATCAACCAAGTGAGGCGAATATTTTTATTGCTAGTCATAACTAAATATATATGATGGACTCACCATTCAAAGTGCGATAGATTGAGAGATGAGAATAATAATATGTACTTTTTGGTAAGGATTTAAATCTTCTAAAATTTGTATTCATGAATTGTCGTAAAAGTTTTCTTTTTAGTATTTTTTTCTCATTTTATTAACTTTTATGAAATATAAAATCTTCTCTTTTTGGTAGGCAGAGAGAACTACTCATGCTTCAGAATAGCCAAGAACCAATTCAAAAGCATGTTTTTAGAATTAATTATAAGTTTTTAAAATTTTGTCAAATTATAGATGATGCCTAATGAATAGTAACCGAAGAATTATGGAAAGACCAGAGAGTTGAACATTGTTTTCATTGACCAAAACTCAAGCACAAAAAATAGTCCACAGGAACAACAATTTTATTGATAACAATTAGTTCGAAGTACATAACAGCATGTAACATAATTTCACACAAAAGATACAAGGCAGTAGGCACTGAATACTGATAATCTAGGAAAGCAACTTTATTGCTTGAAAAGCAAATTAAAAACATATCATATCTTTTCGTTTCTGTTCCTCGTACGAAATGTTATATCCAGACGGTTGATAAACTCCTTCAGTTTTTTGCCCAGCCAAAAACCAAAGCGCAATGTGATGAACACAGCAACAAGCGCAAGATATATAATCCAAGTCTTAACAGACACTATAACCATCTCCCAAGGTGACTCAAAAAGGACATCTGGAGTCACCACATAGAGGGCCTCAAGATATGTAAGTGTTAAGAACGTGAGTGTAATCCGCATACCAGGCGATAACGACCATATCACAAATCTATGCTTCAGAGGAACTCCACTTAGGAGTAAGAGGAGGACACAGAGAAATCCAATAAAACAGATGGCCAGGTACGGGTGAAAATAACTTGTGTATCCAATAGCCGATACTGCATCTCCAGGACATGCTTTGCCACCCTCAACTAAGTCTAAGCATTCGAAAGGTTGCATTTCATTTGTTTCAGCTTCGATTGTGCCAGAATTTATCAACAAGTGTTGCATTTCAAGGGTCATGAAGTCTTTTGGGCTGTGCTCGAGGATACCGTGGGCTGTACAGCCTTTACTGTTTTTCTTGTTTGCTAATTCTCTTATATTTTGAATTGACAGCAGATACCTTACAGCCTAAATACAGACAAGTTAGTAAAGTATTCGGTCACTGCTCACTCGTCGTGACTTTTTCTATGTTGTATTCATAAATAATCAAGTTGTTGTCAATATGAGATTCAGAACTAGTCAGTTGTCATATGCTCTAAAAGTAACTAGCAAATTACGCGAACAACCTAATAAAGTAATTGGTATCCTAATATAACAAAAATAAATTGCATGCATGCAAACTTCTTTTTTAGAAAAAAAAAAGAAACTGTTATGACAATTTAGAGAGAGAGAAAAAGGACAGAAAAATAAAGTATTAATATGTACCTCAACTCGCTTAAACGTGATAGCTAAATGGAGAATGGTGTTGCCATTACGATCAGGGCGTGTAAATATGGGATCACGCAGATGATCACCATCAGTAATACTGGCAGTGGCATGATCAAATTTCACCAAAGTTTCGAGAGTCTGTAAATGGTTGTGTATCACACACAAGTGAAAAACAGTACTTCCTGCTCCATCAGGGAGACACAGAGATTCTGGCTTCTTTTTGATCAAATATTTCACAACCTTTGTTTTCCCTCTCATAGCTGCGTAGTGAAGAGGAATTCTTTTTTCTGTATCGCGAGACAAGCATGGCTCATGGTTAAATTCTAGCAGTTTCTGCACAGTTTCCGAGTTACCCTCTGCAGAAGCCAAGTGAAGGGCTGTTCTTCTAGAAGAATCCGTTCGAGTGGCAAGCTGGGGATTGTGATTGAGAAGAACCTCTGTGAAATCATGACGATTTAGCAGAGCTGATATGTGTAAGGCAGTTATGTTGGAAAGGATTGACGGGTCTCGCTGTATCAACGAGTTCAATGTTGATACATCCCCTCCACTGCATGCTGCCTCCCAGAGATCCCTCATAATTTGATGCATCTCGTGTTAGATAATGGATCATTATACGTATCCTTTAAATCTAAAAGTGGTGTGTCTGTACGTAATTAAGATGAAATAGAAGCAGTTTAGGTGTATTTTACTCTCTTTTTTGGGTGATATGTGTTTAGTGCCCGTCAACCATAGGGAACGTGTTATTTCCGACTGCATTCAAATGAACTCAAGTCAAGTCAAGACAATAAATTAAAGCTCCAGCTCGGTCGGTCCATCCCCTCCTATCATGATGGGAATGAAACTGGTGACGAAGGTTCCTTCATCCTTGGATGGTATGCCTTTAATCAATTGCAGGATGAAGAAATTAAATTGAAATTAAATTTTATTAATCAACTACTAAAGTTCTTCACTTTTATTAAAATAATAAGCGTACCTTTAATTCTCTAATTTTATATAATATTTCAGTTTTGTCTTATAATTTTATAAGGTATTTTTTCAGTTATTTAATCCTAATACCGTTAGTTTTAAATATTATTTTGTCAAAAATTTTTGTTTTAAAAAATTAAGCTTAATATGTCAATATTTGATAATATTTTGTCAATAGTTAAAAATTTTATGTAAAAATTTTTTGTTGATGAAACTAACCATGTTTAACTAAAAAGACTGAAAAGACACTTTATAAAATTAAGATATCAAAATAAAATCTTGTATAAAATTATAGAACCAAATGTACATTTTAGGCTTAAAATAAAATCCAACCTTCTGCTGCCATTTAGAGTTTCTATATCATCTAGATAATAAGTGTAATAATAAGATTTGAATCTCTTACAAGAACATATTCTCGCGTGTGCGTTTGGCGCACAAATATTCAAAATTTTAATAAAAAATCCTTAATAAATTACTACCTCTAAGTTCAATAAGCACTTAAAGGAATAATTATAAATAACCTACTAACAAAATCTTCACATCAACAGAGGTAATAAACTAATTATAGTACTTATATGGAATTAGTTTATTACCTCATTTTGAGTTAAAAACTTAGAAGACCAATTACAAATTATTATATAATGCAGGAAACAAATGTAAAATCCCATCTATATCTTAGTTAAACAAGCCTTTCCAAGATTTGAAAAGTATGCTATTACTTTTTCAACTTTTAACTTATAAGATTAAATTATTATTAAAATTTACTCACTATGATATGTGAAAATTTTGCAGCTGGTATTTCAGCTTTTAACATGAAAAATTGGTTAAAAATATTACAATATATGAAAATTTACACTCCAACTTGTATCATATAAATTATTAAATGGACTTTTTTCGGCTAATAGTCTAATAAATACAATTATATATAGGGATTTGACATACGTACAATCTACTGCTAATCATATGATAATTTTTTAACCTATAACATTTTTTAAAAGTAAATAAATAATAGACAAGTGATTTCATGATTCGGTGAAAAATGATGATATGCCCACGAACGCACACGTACAAATGGAACATCCTATGCATGTGTATAATTTATTGGAGGATTATCTGGTTCTTATGAAAATATTTGTCAAGATGAAATAGCCGCATATAAGAATTGCGTGGTCTCATTGCATATTGATGATTTTTTTTTTTGTCATTATTCAATAAAATGTTATACCCTTGGATTATAATTTGTGGTGGTTAATAAACAATAGAAAAACGTTTATGCACTGAGATTATGAAGGCGCGAAGAGACATTAGCTATCTCATGTGCTGGCAAACCTCTCGCTCAAGTTTCAGCATGTGTTTATTAGTTATCAGTTTAATAGAAGTATTTATTAGGCAAAAATCAGTCAACAAAAATTCGTTTATTAAAAATTCATAATATATTATCCTCTTCTCCCCTTATAATACAGCAAAATCAAATTCTGTGTCACAACAGTACATTAAAATATCTTAGTTTCCTGGCCCCGAACTTCTCACAGATGATAAACTTCATATGAATACTTGAGCGTGAACGATCCAAATTGCAAGAGATGAGATGAGGTGGGATCAAAGGGTCACTTTCTTATACCTTCCATGAAGAAACCTCATTTTTACACTACTACAAAAAGGCAATTCTACTACTCTAATTCACGTCATATTTTGAAAATGGAACTTAGAAAGAAATAATCTATGTCACCCAAATGAAAAAAGAATGTGAATTAAAAAAATTATTTTTTTAATATTTTAATATCCCCTCACAGGATGTGGCTTCTGCAAATGTCCACGTGGTCTGTTATAGGATCCACGTCCCCCATAAGTGAGGGGGACGTGGCTGCTACAACAGTCCACATGGACTGTAAAAGAATCTATGTCCCCCATTTGTGAAGGGGACATGGATTCTCAAATCCACATCCTCCTCCCTTATGGGGGACATAGATTCATTACAATCCACGTCCTCTAGTCAGATCCCCCTCGAAGGAGGGGGATGTGTAATATATGAGATTTTGATTTCCACACACTTACTTTTACAATTTTCAAAATCAATGTCAACTTCATGTCTTGTCATTGTGCTGTCTGCCTCCAACTCACAGCTCCTTCTCTCGTCTTAGCTCCCTCATCTCTTGTCTTTGTCTGCGTATTAGCTCCCTCTCATCTCGGCTCTCTCTCTCTCGTCTTAACTCCCTATCTCGGTCTCTGTCTCTCGTTTCCCAACTTCCTCATTGCCTCTATCCCTCTTCTCTTCTCCTTGTCTCTCTCGACAGCTCTGTGGAGGAAGAAGCCTAGCCACTCATGATTGAAGAAGAAGCCTAGACATGCCCTCTCTTGTCTCCAGGTATTTCTTTCCTTGTCTAGACAAAACCTAATAGATTTCTAATATCTGGAAGCCCTTAAAATTTTATGAAGCTAGCATGATATCTTTTATTTCTTACGCTGATTCAAAGCTGAATGTGGGTAGATGCCCCCCTAGAGCTCAGTTTTTAAGATTTGATTGCATGCAAGTAGAAATCTAAGAAACAAATAGAGTGGCAAAATGTGTGAGGTGTCGAGATTGGGTTAGAATACTGCTATTTGATTGGGTTAGAAATCCAAAAAATAAACATATTATGCTGCATCGCTAAAAACAAAATAAAAATATAAAAAAATGTTATTGCTATTTTATTTTTTAAAGGAAATTAAAGAAGCTTATATTGTTCTTGTGTGTGTCAATATATGTTATTTTTATTTGAGTATATATTTTCTATTATGATATGGTTTTAGGCATGTGACATTCAAGTAAAAAAATTGCCTAACATTGTTGTATTATATATTTCCAATGAATGAAACATAATTTATGATCAATGCATGGTTTATAATTTTTTTTATTTTGAATTTGAATACAAAATAAAATAACTTGATAAAAGAAAATTAATATCAATACCAATATAAAATATAAGATACATACTTATTTTAAACTTCAAGCAAATGCATAAGATTTGCTCAACATTAAATAAGTAATAATAATCATTTAAGGCTTATAAATCAAATTTTTTATGATATTAATTTATAGAATTTTTCATCAAAAATAAAAAAAAGTATACAATTTATTCAATTTTATAAATATATTCTTACAAATAATTTGAATAGTTATTCAAATAAATTAACATTTATATAATTTTAATATCTATGTATATAACTTTACATGGTTATATATGCATAACCATTCATGGAGGGGGAAAAAAAACTTGCCCCTACTAGTTCCGGGTCCTAGATTCACCACTGATAATGCCCAATTTATTTTTTTGATTAATTTTTAATCTATTTTCCTAGGTTATGTACTTTTTTTCACTCTCCACTTAAGTGATTTATTTGCTCTAAGTTAATTAGATAGTTTAATGAAAATTTAGATAATATTGCACCTGAGAATTTGTAATAATGCATGGTTAGGTCTTGTTTGCATTGAATTTAATTTGAGAATTAAGTTTGAGAATTAGCTTAGGTAGGAAATATTTATTTAATTACTTGCTGTATCTATTGGTTTATAATTATTGTAACTTTAGGATGTTTAATTTTTAAGGGAAAACTTTGCTGATTTTTATTTTTTATAGAAATCAATCTAATTGAAGCACAAGTAAGGTAGTGAATTATTAATTTGATAGACTTTGTGATGATTTGTTAGGTAAAAATAGAATGGATCATACTTGGATGAATGCTAGTAAAATGACTAAGGAGTATGAGAATGGTATGGATTAGTTTCTTGAATTTGCTAGAAAAAATATTTCTAGCAAAAATGAAAAGTATTGTTGTCCTTGTGTTAACTGCATGAATAAGATTGAATTGGGTATTGATGAAATAAAAGAGCATTTAATTTATGATGGGATAAATTTAAAGTATACAAGATGGATATAGCATGAGGAGGTAGTAGGAACAACTTTATGTCCCAATATGAGACAATTGTGAATGATTGGGATGATAGAACAAAGGATATGATTCATGATATTGGGATGACATCATTTGCACAATCTCATGTATATGACAACTTGCATAGTGATGCAGAGAAATCCTTATACTTGGGGTGTACTAATTTTATGCTCTTGACAGTTGTGTCAGGATTGGTTAACTTAAAATTTAGAAGTGGGTGGGCTGATTTGAGTTCCACAAAATTACTTGAATTTTTGAGTAAAATGCTTTCAACTCATAATTTGCTTCTAAAATGTATGTATGAGGTAAAGAAAATTCTGTATCCAATGGGTATGGATTATAAAATGATACATGCTTGTCCTAATGACTGCATGCTATATAAAAATGAGTATGAAGAGCTACAAAAGTGTCTAAAATGTGGGACTTTGAGGTACAAAGTGAAGAAGGAAAATGATATTGATCATGGTGATGAGATCATAACAAAAGGGTCTCTTACAAAGGTGATGTGGTATCTTCCAAAATATCACGATTTCAATGTTTGTTTGCTAATCTAATAGAAGCCAAGAATTTGAGATAACAATTTGATGAAAAAATGTTTAATGAAAAACTTTGACACCTAGTTGATTCTTAACAGCTGTTGCTTTTTAAGGAAGTGTGCACGACACGATGGGTTTATGAGCCATATCACTTTC